TCGCCTCGCACAGGTCGACCAGCTGCGCGCGACGCAGGCGCGCCAGGGAGCCCGACGTGGGCTCAAACATGGCATCCTCGATGGCGGGCGAGGAGCGCGCCACGGGATCGTCGCCAGCGTCGTCCGCGTGCTCTGCGTCGGCCGCGCCCATCTCGCAGTCGCCAGTCTCCTCCCGAGGCTCCCGCTCCGCGTTCGCCTCCTGATCCTGGTCGACTGCCATCGCGTCGCGCCTCGACACCGGCATGCGCAGCTTGCCGTTGCGTAGCTTGCGGAACTTGACGGGGCTGTCGTCCGCCTCGGTCGAGGACGCCTCGCTGTTGTCGTCGTCGTCGTCATCATCGTCGTCATTATCGTCGTCGTCGTCCTCGTCCTGGCCGTCGATCTCGCCCATGGTCTGACCGGGCGAGACGGTCTTTGCTGCACCTCGACGGTGTCCGCTCTGCGATCCCCTTCGCGCGGCCCGAGGCGCGCGGTCGGCCCTGACAGGCGTCGCGTCGTTCTGGTCGATCTCGGCCCCGTCGGTTGCGGGCCTGGAACCTCTGCGGCCGGGCGCTCGAGGCCGCGACCCGTTCCGCTGCTCCCCGGTCTCGTCCTCCGACTCCTCTTCAGCCACGCTGAGCTGGCTGACGAGCTCACAGTCGGCGTCATCGGCCGAAAGCTCGTGATGGCCGACTTGCCTGGCGCGCGCTCTCGTCTGACGCCGGGTCGCTACGGTTCGCCTTTTGCCGGAGCCGTCGCTGCGGCTCGCTTCCTCCTCGGACCAGTCCTCGTCCATGTCGTCAGGATCACCGATCCGCTCGTCGCCCGTGCGGAACGACACGCCGCGTCCGGCCTTTCGAGCGGGACGGGGCGTCCTGCTGCTGCTTATGGCACCGTCGCCGAACATCTCTTGCAACGCGGCCGCCGTGGCCCGCGTCATCGGGCGCCGCCGAGGTGCGACACCGCCCTGGCCGCGGGAGCTCGCGCGGACAGGCGACGAGGCTACAAAGAGGCTGCGCCTTGATCCGCGCCGGCGCACCATGTGCGAGCCCAGCGGCGAGATGCCGGAGCTGGTAAAGGCGAGCGAAGATGAAGAGGCGTTGGCCCCGGCATCGGAGCTGCCAAAAATGGACCTGTCCCGGCCGCGACGGTCGGCGCGGTTGGTGCCGAGGGCGGTCCTGGCGCGCAGGGTGCGATCCGCGCGGCCGATGGGGTCCGACTGCTGCCAGCGCGCCTTGGTCGGGTCGCCGTTCGGGGCGTGCTGCATGAGCTCGGACGGCTCGAAGAAAGACGAGTCCATCCGGCGCAGCGTGCCTGGCTGGGGTCTTCGGGCCGCCTTCTTGCGGCCGGCGGCACGGGTGGGCTCGGCCTCGGTCTCTTCGCCTCCACCTTCGTGGGACTCGTCGGAGCTGTCACCGCTGGGGCGGCGCGACTGTTCTTTCGTCGTCGCTTCAGGATCCGCGACCCCTGTGCGGCGAGTCCTCGAGCGCGACCGTGTGCGCAGCCTGGGCGGACTCGGAAGCTCGTTGGTCAGGTCAATGACGGCGCTGCCCCGAGCCCGTAGCGACGACGACGATGACGAGGCAGAGGCGGCGCGGCGGTGGCCCCGCGCCCCGGCGTCGGCGACGGCGCCCTTGCCCTTGTCGAGGCGGGAGCGGCACATGATGACACCGTTGACGAGCTCCTGCTTTGTGTAGAGCTCGGGGTCGACCTCTTCGTCGTCATCCCACGTGCCCGCCAGGCGGTTGAGGCGGACGAGGTCGTCCTTGCGCAGGCGTGACAGCTGCCAGTTGGGAGCGGTGGTCAGCAGGCGCTGGTCCTCGGCCTCGCCGGATTCGCCAGCAGCGGCGCCGTCTTCGGCGAACAGGGGCGCGCCGGTGCCGTAGTCGACGGAGCGTTGGCTGCGGGTTCGAGAGCCGCGGCGGACGGGCTTTTGCGCACCAGTCGCTTTTCCGTCGACGTCGACGTCGCCGCCGCTGCCGCTGGCCGTGCCCGTGGGCGAAGGCGGATCCTCGAGCGTCATGCCGCGCATGCCCTGCCGGAGGGAGACGCGGCTCGAGCTGCGACCAGATCCCCTTTCGCTCTGGAGCCAGCTGTCGACGAGGTCATCGTGGACCTCGGGCAGCGTCGCATGCCGCGAGGCTGCAGGCGACGTCGAGGCGAGGGAGGACCAGTCAGAGGTGTTGCTTGCAGTCGAAGCCGGCTTCCGCGGCGTGGCAGGCAGAAAGCCCCTGCGACGGCCCAGCGAAAGGCTGCTGCTGGCGTCGGTGTGCCCGCCCCGCTCGGTGTGCGCGGCACGCTGGTTGCGCAGCGGGCCAGTGCCGCTGCGGTCGTTGGCCTTCGCCTTGGATTTGGATCCGGTGACGTTGGCGCGTTTGCGCTTGACGCCGGCGCCGGGGCTGGAGAGGGCCATCCTGCCCAGGGGGATCTCGACGAAGCACGAGACCCTCGGATAGTTGCGGGGCGCACTGGGAAGCAACGAGGGCCCGGGCTCGCCCAGCTTGAAGGAAAAGCAGGCGCCGTGGAACTGGGCCGAGTTCGTGTGCAGGGGTGAGTCGTGCTGCGGCGGGGACTGGTGCTGCTGGACAGGTGAGAGGATTGGGCGGTTTCGACGGGCTATCATGTCGGCCTGCGGCGGGCCGTGCAGGCAAGGGGTCGGTGCGACGCGGGGATGTGGGGCTGAAGTGACCGGTGGTGAGGCTGCTCAAGCTGCCTCAGGGTGGCGAGGCACGATGGGACGAGGCCGCCTTCAGGCAGAGACGAGCGATCAGTGGACCGGAAAAGGTGCTCGCTGTCGAGTGGTAGTCTGACTATACTATGTGCGGATCATGCAGGGCGAAGGGCGGCGAGCTCGGCCAGGCCAGTGGCGGTTCACCGGGAACGCCGTGGAGAGCGGAGAGGAAAGAGGAGGTGCGGGCGGGATATATGCGAGTGTGTCGCTGGTAGACCAGGACGACGGCGATGGCGGCGCACACGGCGAGGCTGACAAGCGGCTGCTGAGACCCTGAAGAGCCACCCGGCTGACCCGAATGAATGCGAGGCGGCAGCGGCGGCGACGAGTGCAAGAAGAATGCTGATGCGAGGCTGATGTTGAGATGCGTGTACGATGGCAAGACGGGAAGCGTAGGGGTAGATGGCCGGCGAGAGTCACAGGATACGATGTTGTGGCCGAGAGGGGGAGAGGAAGGGACGGGAGAGGGAGGGATGGTTGGTCGAGGTGGAGAAGGCCAGGCCAGGCTGCCACAACAAGCAAGCAGCGGCGCGCTCAGCCTGACCCGGCCCCTTGCCTGGCGCTCGTCTGGCCAGGCAAGCCTGACCTGACCTGCTGCCCTGTAGGCCGGCCCCGATTTCTGAATTTCGATGATCGAGATGCCGCTGGCGTTCGCGTAGAGCTTGGCGTGCGCGTCGTGAAGGGTGGGGGCCTGGCAATCCCGGCCTCGGAACCGAGGACGACGTCGAGTTCGGCGACTTTTGCAGACAGCCCGGCCTCGGTGACTTGGTGGACAGCCGGCCCCCCGCTCGCCTGGACCGACCCCGCGCAGCTCGACTTGCCTGCCAGCTGGCCTGCTTGCTGCACCCTGGCATCGGCACAGCCAAGCTAGAGGGTACCGGTAGCAGCGTCCTCTCCCGCCTGCCTGCTGCCCTCTTTCACCGGTTCGACCTGACGCACGCCAGCACCAGCACGCACGCACGTCGACGTCTCGGGGTCCCTGCGACCAGCGGGCGCCGCGACGAGCGAGAGCGCCAAAGCGAGATTCCATCGCCTGCACAGCGAAAAGAGAGGCAGGCCGGTTGGGGCGGGGGGCGAGGCGGGGCGAGGTGAGGTTTCCGCAGCTTACCGCCGCTGCGCCGTTGCGGAGCTGCGCATCGTCGCGTTCGACGGCAGGCGCCGCTCGACGACGGTAATGGTCATGGTCGAGAGCGATCATCCACTTCAAAGGCGTGGTGTCGCTCGCATGCCATATCACCCGTCGTTGGACTCTATGGCAGGATGTACGTATGTACGTGCGTGTCCATCTCTCTGCGTCGCGGGCGGATCGAGTCGAGTCGAGTACTCTTAGTCTATTTCCGTACCAACCAGCCTCGCTCCTGACCTAGCTCATCCCTGCGCCCGAGCGTCCTGCTTGCACGCCCTGCTGGCGCTACCGTACCGGTACCGCTGCCTTAGCGCTGCTCTTAGATGCACGGCTGGCCAGGCCGGGCAGAAAGACAACGAGAGGCCAGGCAGCACGAGCAAGAGGCTGGGATGCATGGCCCCTCGCCGCCGGCTCAAAGTTGCCGCCGCCGCCGCCGCAGCTGCCGCCTTCGCCGCCTCGCCATCGCCGCCTGCCTGCCACGGCTCGCTCCAGGCGACCGCAAGCTTGCAAGACCTAGGCCAGGCCAGGACAGGCAAGGCGGGGCAAGGCGAGGCTCCTCGAGCGCCTGTCGAGTCAAGGATCTACGCCCCAGGCCTGCCTGGACGCAAGTGCCTGTACGTGCTGCTGAAGCTCAACTCGTCCAGGATCGACCCGGTCGACGACCAACATCGCCACCACCACCATCATCATCGCACCCCTCGAACCCAGCCAGACTTCCTTGCTCGCTCCCCAGCCTCCCCTCCGTATCGGACCCTCGCACTCTCGTTACTGTACCAGCCGCATTACTACTGCCATCTCGTCGCTCCCTCTTTCTTGATCGACCTGCCCTACCTCCCCTATCGCGCTCAACTCCCCTCGCACCTCTTCGCCTCCCCGTCCACCCGCAAGCCAAGATGCAGTTGACCCGCTCCCTTGCTGTCCTCTTCGCCATGACGACCATGGCCTTCTCGAGCGTCCACGCCACGGCGCAGGCCGTCGATGCCGCCTCGCTCTTCCCGCGCGCCGACGCCTACAACGCCGCGGGCAAGGGCGACGGCCCCGAGAGCGACGGCCGCCACGAGGTGCGCTTCACCCTCAAGGGCTGCCCCGCCAACGTCAAGCCCAAGATCACCGGCACCTCGGGCAGCAAGGGCTCCTTCCTGCCCAAACCCCCGGGATCCGTCGTGGTGCCCGCCGACTTTACGGGCTCCGTCTACCTCATAGGCGAAGGATGCGGCAAGAACGGCGTCAACTGCCAGGCCGTCGCCCTCATCTTTATGCCCGAGCCCTCCGAAACGGTGCGCTCCTACATCAACTACGACGCCACCCAGCCCCGCAAGTTTGTCTACCCCGTCAAGGCGCGCTTCGACGACAACAACGACCAGAGCGACGCCGCCAGCATCGACTGCGACAACTTCGAGTGCCTCGACGGAAGCAGGGACCCCGACGACTTCATCAGCAACCGCATCTACAGCTCGACCCGCGGCGTCGGCGTCGACATCGTCTACGACTGCACGGCCAACTCGACCGCGCCCGCGCCCGGCGTCTGAGGTGCGAGCGTCGCCGCCGTCCTCGAAAGCGTCTCCGTGCCGTGGCCGCAGCTGTATTCTTGCTGCAGAACAATAACGTGTAGCCCGCTTAGCTAGCATCGGTGCTCCTTCCGTCCGCTCTTTGCCTCCCTTTGAATATCGATGTCGATCGGCGCAGGTCCGCCGTTCCGTCTACCCTTTTATCCTATCGCATTTGCGAGTGCCCTGACGCCGCCACGGCCGCCGCCGCCTATGCGCTCCTGGGCTTGAGCGCCTCGTCGGTCACGTCAACCGTCTGGCCCTTGATAAAGTCCTCGACGACCTGGACAAACTCGTTGGGCTTCTCGGCCTGGCACCAGTGGCCCGTGTCCATCACGACCATCTTGGAGTTGGGGAAGTGGGCGCGGTTGGTGGGCACGTTGCGGCGGTTGATGTACTTTGACTTTGCACCCTTGACAAAGAGGACGTCGCCGTCCCACGCGCGCGCGTCGCCGCTGCCGCCCTCATCGGTCGAGCCGGGGGCGTCGTAAGGGAAGTCGCCGATCGATGAGATGTGCTTCTGCATCGTCCGCACCGGGATGCGCCAGGACCAGCTGGCAGAGTCGGGCGGGTTGCGCGTGAGGTTCGTCAGCAGGAACTGCCGCACGCCGAGGTCCTGCGCCGTCGGTGGTGGGGGGAGGGCACGGATGCGGGAGGTTGAGAGGCGTCAGCGTCAGCGTCGACGCCGGGAAGGGTAAGAACAATGCTAGGGCCGGATCGGCTGCTCACGGGCTCGATCTTCTGGAGGAGCTCGTCGGCCGCGCTCCTCGTCTCGCACTTTGCCTCTTCGATCTCAACCATGCCCTCCATGTATTGCTGCGTGGCGAGCGGCAAGCGTGGGCGCCGAGTGGGTGATGATGGGGTCAGCCTGGTTTGCCGTTGACCCTGACTCGCTGGCGGCGTTCTGCAACGACGCAAGTGCTCACCTCAAACTCCTTGCTGAGCGGCCCGCGCCGGGGGCTCATGTCGACGCTGATGAGCTTGCTGACGCGTTTCCCGATCTCGGCATCGAGCACGGCGCTCATGACGACCTTGCCGCCCATGCTGTGGCCGATGAGGACGACGTTGTCGAGGCCCTTTTCGGCGAGGAACCTGCCGACGTCGGCGGCCATGTCGCGGTAGTCGAGGCCGTCGATGTGGGGCGAGGTGCCGTGATTGCGCAGGTCGAGGGCGTAGACGTCGACGCCGAAGCGGGATGCCATTGCGCGGCCGAGGGAGCGCCAGTTCTGCTTGGAGCCAAAGAGGCCGTGGCAGACGACAATGGGCCCCAGCGGCTTGACGCGTGGGGCGGCGGCGGCGGCGGCGTCAGAGGACTTTGGGTGGTAGGCCTCATAGTCGAGCTCGACAGTGTTGCCCGTCGGGCCGGGAGGCGGCTTGACGGCAGGGTCCGAGACGGTGTTGCCGACGGCGTAGCCCCTCGACGAGAATGCAGAGGGCGGCGAAGGGGATTTGGGGCGGGCGTCGAGGCGTAGCGGCGAATGGGAAAATGGGCGCAGCGAGGGCGTAGCCAGGCTGGCCAGCGACGCCCAGCCACGGGCGACACGTACCGAGCGAACGGCGCTTGCGACGGACAGGGGCCGGGAGAGGGCTGGCAGGGACATTCGAGGCGACGAAGATGGGCGACGGCGATGATGGTGGTGGTGAGGTGGCTGGCCAAGGGAAACGAGAGAGTAGAGTGAGACTTCGGAGGCCGCTTGAGCCGGTGGTCCGGGTCGACGCCCTATGGTCCTTGTGGAGGAGCCGAGCCGACACGGACGACAGGTGGGCCAGGTGCCAGGGTCCGGCTGGCCCGAGAGCTGCTGCTTCAATCCCGGCTCCGCCTGAGCTTCGGAGACGGGCCGGCGCCGACAGACAAGCAAGCAGGCAAGCAGGCAAGCAGCGGGGGATCCGTAGCAAGGAGGCAGCCAGCAAGAGGCGTGCGAGGATCGACGTGCAAGAGCGCGCTCCCTGCTGCCTGCCTCTTGGCCAGAGGTCAGGCCTGGCCTCCTTGCATCAGAAGCCGGGCGGCAAGCAAGCAGCGAGCCAGCTGCAAGCAAAGCGGGGCCAGTGCAAGCCGCCCGGCGCGCTGCCTGCCTGGCCTTGCCTGGCCTTGCCTTGCCTTGCCTTGCCTTGCCTGCCTCTTCGCACGTACGTCTTCGCGACGCTCCTGACAGCCAGCCTAGCCAAGCCAAGCCAACCCGAAAGGCAGCCCAGTCCAGTCCAGCCCTTGCTTGCTTGTGCTTCTGGCTGTCCGTGCCCCACTTTGGGCAGTCGAGGAAGAGCAGCCAGTCAGGCATGGTGGGCGGGTGGGCGAATGGGCGGGGGCCTCCCGGTCGTTGGGATAGAGAGAGCGAGAGAGAAAAAAGACGAGCGACAGCCAGCCAGCCAGCCAGCCAGCCTGGAAGGCCCACCAAGCTCGGGCCAGGCCTACCTGCCTGCCAGGTGGCTGTGGGCGCGGGGCCTCCGTGGCGCAGCCTGTTTCACCGCCTGCCTGCCGTTGGGGCGCCTCAGAGTGTGTGTGCAACGACGCATGGCCGACAGCAGCAGCAGCACCCTGGCACACACCACCTTAGTTGGGTCCTCTCTACCTGTGCGCCCTTCTTCGTCTCTCGCCTCACTCTCCCTCTGACCACCACTCGCCATCAGCAACTCGCCGCCACGGCACCAACACCGACCCACCGTCATCGACCGCCCACCCTCGTCATTAATCGCCATCCCATCGCCGTGCAGCGCTGCACGACGACCGGCACCACCAGCGCTCCCTCCGCCACCGTTAAACTAGAAGCGGCACTCGCCACCTCAGCCTCGTCGACGTCGCCAGAGTGCCAGTCCATTGCTATCCTCTGCCTCGAAGCAGGCTGCATTCGCTCTTTACCCGTCCATCGTCAGCCCCCCCTCTCTCTGCTCCAAGCGGTCGAGGAGCGAACCTGATCTGCCACCGCCCACTCCTTATACGCTATATCCTGCTCGTCTGCTCTCCCGCTCGCCTGCTCGTCCCGCCGTCCATCCCCTCCTCGCCGCCGCTAATACTCTCTTCAACTATCCATAGGCCTGCTTCTCGCGCCCGTCCGACATCGAACGTCGGTCTCGGCCAGCGGTGCATCGCCTCTCCCTTTCTCTGACCTCATTATAAGGCGCTACACGGCATAAGCCAGCCGCCGTCCCCCACACTCGCCCGCCATGAAGCTTGCACCCTCCATCTCGCTGATTCTCAGCGGGCTGCTGGCGCTCCACCAGGCCGCACAGCCTACGCACGCCGTCAGCGGTCACTCGGATCCGCTCGCCCGCAAGGCGTACGTGCAGAGCCTCTACCTGCGCTCGCCACCGCCATGGCACAACCAGCGGCGCTCAGTGCCCCTGCCCGCCAAGCGCGACTACGACTCCCACCACTACTACGTCGTCGAGCTCCAGCCGCACGAGGGTGGCTCGGTCGATCCGAGGGACGTGGCCGCCGCGCTCGACGCCGAGTACGTTGAGCAGGCCGGCGAGCTCAAGCACCACTACCTGATGCGATTCGCCAAGCGGCTCGAAGGAGATGCCATCGGCGACGCCTCCGCCCTCGAGAAGCGCGAGCATGCTGGCGCCGATGTCGGCCTCGCCAGGCGGCAAGACTACCCGCTCGAGGACGACCCGGTGCTGAGGCGGTGGGGCGAGATCCGGCGCGCGAGGAGCGTGGCAGGGCCCGGGTCAGCGTCCAACGGCAGCCTGCAGCTGGCCAAGCGGCACGAGCGCGCCTCGGTCTCGATCCGCGGCGTCGAGCGGCAGGAGCTGCGCATGCGGCACAAGCGCGACCGGATCTACGTGCCCGAGCAGATGCCCGACCTGTACCCAGAGATCCGGGCTGCGTTGCCCGGTGCGGATGCGTGGGCTTCGGAGGTCGTCGAGGCGGAGCGGAAGCCGCCGATGATGCCGGCGGCCAAGACGGCCGCCATGATCGGCGAGTACGGCATCAGCGACCCCATCTTTGTCGACCAGTGGCACCTGGCCAACGACCGGCGCGAGGGCTTCGACCTCAACCTGACCGACGTGTGGAAGCAGGACATCCACGGCCGCGGCGTCAACGTCTGCCTGATCGATGACGGCCTCGACATGCACAGCCACGACCTGGCCGACAACTTCTTCGCCGCCGGCTCGTACGACTTCAACGCGCACACCGAGCTGCCGGAGCCGCGCGAGTCCGACGACCAGCACGGCACGCGGTGCGCCGGCGAGATTGCGGCGCTCAAGAACGACGTGTGCGGCGTCGGCGTCGCCTACCACGCCAAGGTGTCGGGCGTCCGGATCCTGTCGGGCCCCATTTCCGACGTCGACGAGGCGGCGGCGCTCAACTACGCCTACCAGGACAACCACGTCTACAGCTGTAGCTGGGGCCCGCCCGACGACGGCCGCAGCATGGACGCGCCCAAGGGCCTGATCGCCAAGGCGATGCTCAACGGCGTCCAGAACGGCCGCGACGGCAAGGGCAGCATCTTTGTCTTTGCCGGCGGCAACGGCGGCGCCTCGGACGATCAGTGCAACTTTGACGGGTACACCAACAGCATCTACTCGATGACGATCGCCGCCGTCGACCGCGAGGGCCAGCACCCGTACTATTCCGAGATGTGCTCGGCCATCCTCGCCACGGGCTGGAGCTCGGGCAACGGCGACCACATCCACACGACCGACGTCGCCTGGAACGGCGTCAACCGGTGCGCCTCGACCC